TATACACGTACATGTTGATTAATGAGTGTTTATTTCGTAAGTAAAAGATGAGCTGAATTATTTTGATCAAAAATAAAAATAAATATGCTTAGCTTTAATAACTGATAAGTATAATTTAATAAGCTAGAATTAAATGCTATCTTGTTACGCTGCCAAATGCATTGTATAAGTACTGTATTGATCAAGAGTGGATTTGTGTTCAGTTTTGACTGTATACTCAAGGAAATATACTAATTCTTAAATGTTTTCTATAATGAAATAAAGCAGTAGCTGAAATGTTCGGTTTATAATTTTGCATCTTCTCGGCTTCGGATAAGGACAATTTCGATCTAACCAACGCTAAGAAACAAATAGTAAGTAAATGCTGGGAGTTGTTGACTAAGTATATTCCAATATATAGAGTAAAAGTTCAATTTATAGATTTAAAAGTATACTGTACATCATTTATAGTTTTATTATTACAGAAAGTACAACATGTCTACATTAATTGGTTGACATTAATTCGGATTTGTTTATTATTCTACATCAGTGGGCATTTTTAAATTGCTTATTTTTTGTGAGACATATTTTCTTTTTATACATTATCAAAGATAACACTGTCATCTAAAACCACGTGGTAGAACTACAGCTCGAATTCGCTATTCCTTTAATTATCTGTTTACATCAATATCGACAAATAGGGGTGTCGATATTTCTTACACAAAAACATACTATTTATTGCCAAAGTCCACATGGACAATGGATGATCCTTCATCAAGTTAGCTTAATAGCGTAGTGGTAGAATGTTCGCTCCGTGAGTGTAGAGGCCCTGGTTCGAGTCCTTGAAAAGCCAGTTTTTATTTCCTTTAATTATTTGTTTTGAGATATTTTACAACTAACAAGATTTAAGTCCTCTTGAATTTCGTACACGCAAGGCTTTTTGAGAACATTAAGTTTCACACAGATTCGCATTCAACAGACAGAGTTTAAGTCAACAAGTCAATAAATGACTGAACAAATACACCGTGGGTAAGCAACTTTGGTCATGTGACCACAAAAGTCAACGTACACGGCCAAAATAGCTCGGCTGAGGTTTTTTTTTTAGTGATTATTTTTCTGTCCAGCCGATTTAAATTATGCTACATAGCCTACCGACCGCGGCAGTTCCGATGCTTTCTAAAAATGTATTTAGTTTCGTCTAACGTATTGTATTTTATGAGAACATTCAAACAATATTTGCAAATTGTCGATGACAACGTACACACTATTGTGTAAAAAAAGTATTGATGAAAACTTAATAAACGATACGCATGTCAGTTCTAAGTAAAATTTCAGGTCTTAAAATATATAAGTGAATGTTTAAATGAAAAAAGAACTGGTTTCCTGCTGTCATTTTTTTGTATTTATTTAAGAATTGACCAACTTACAGAAATGTCAACGACAACATACTGTCTAGAAAATGTCAACGTACACACTCACAATTTAGTTTGATAGTGGTCTGAACATGAGGCTGCAACTTCGAAATAGGTGGCTTTTTCTAACAAAAAGCTAGTTGGCTTCCTATTTAGATTGCCCTCTCAAACTGTATATTAGTACAGGTTTATACAAGGAAAAAAGTTGCAAGTACATTCATATCATAATAAATGTCGATAAAAATAAGCTTAAACAACCTTTAACTTTTTTATAATGTTATTTATTTGTTATTTTGTGGTTTACTTTTAGAAGGAAAAATCCAGTTACTCAGACTGCTTAATGATTTGTTGAACTGTATTAATTTAGATCATTTTATAGTCATTTAATAACGTAAACAGCCAGAATAAGCGTCTCTTGCTCAACCAACCTAGTGCCTTCTGTAGCAACAAAAGTTGACTAGGTTGAAAATGACGCCGAGTGACTATTTTATAGGTTCAGCAGTTATGTCACTTTTACCCTATGATTACATATAACGTTATATTAACATTATATTTTCAATGATATATCTCCTTGCACTAGTTATGTAATTGCCACATGTTATAGACATTGTTATTTAATACATGGGCTAGCTTAATAGACGTGATATGTATTTTTGCATTCACAGTTTTCTTTGCCCTTGTTGTTTCACTGCAAATTTTGCCAACCATGTCTGCTAATTTACAACTCTATGATATGTATTTAACAAAAATGCTCAAGTGCCTTACATTTTAATAATTTGCATTGCAATCAAAATTTTAAATTCAAGCAAACCATTTTATTTGAGCAAAATGTCGATCAATATATATTGTGGCATTTCTATGACATATGACTGTGGTACTTGATATAACTTTATAACTTTTTAAATGTTTAAACAATGTCATTGATTCATATCTATAGCTCATACATTGCGCACAAAATAGGATGGGTAAATTTATTACTAGAAACCATTTTCCGGTAAATTTATAACTAGTAACCATTTTCCGGTAAATTTATTACAAGTAACCATTTTCCGGTAAATTTATTACTAGTAACCATGTTCCAGTAACTGGTTTCTTGAGCAGTAAAAGCATTTTACTACAAACTTGGTACTTGTAACTAACAATTTAACAAAGGGTAATTGGTTGCCTTAAGCAACCTATAAAATGGTGAATTGTTTATAAGAATTTTTTTACATAACAAGTGCAAGTAGATATATTCTTGAAAATAAAATGTTAATAGAACATTAGTGATGTAATCATAGAGACCAAGTGACGCCACTGCTGAAAAACCGATAAATATAAAATTGTAACTCGGCGTCATCGTCAACCTTGGACCCTTTTGCTGCCACGGAAGGCACTAGTTGGCAAGAGACCCTTATCCTGGCTGTTTACGTTATTAAGATGACTGTAATTAGATCTATATTGTAATACGATCTATATTAATACAGTATAAAATATAAAAACGGCTGTTTCAGCTAATCATTAGGCAGTCTGAGTAACTGGAAATTTGTCTTCTAAAAAACAAAGTACAAATAAATAACATAAATAGGTTAAAGGTTAACTTTAATTGTTTAAGTTTATTTGCGACGAAATGCACTCTAAACTATTTCCTTTGTAAAAAAAAATGTAATTATATACAATTTGAGAGGGCAATCTAAATTGAAAGCCAACTTTTTGTTGGAAAAAGCCACCTATTTCGAAGTTGCAGCCTAATGTTCAGACCACTATCAAACTAAATTGTGAGTGTGTACGTTGACACTTTCTAGACAGTATGTGTACTTTGACATTTCTGTAAGTTGGTCAATTCTTAAATAAATACAAAAAATGACAGTAGGAAACCAGTTCTTTTTTCATTAAAACATTCTCTTATATATTTTAAGACCTGAAATTTTAACTGCCGCGGCCGGTAGGCTATGTAGCATAATTTAAATCGACTGGACAGAAAAATAATCACTAAAAAACTTAACTCAGCCGAGCTAATGTGGCCATGTACGTTGACATATGTGGTCACATGACCAAAGTTGCTTACCCACGGTGAAATAGCAATAGAAGAAATGGATGTATACAAATGAGCATAATTTGTTGAAAAAATGTGGCTAATCGAATTAAGAATTTCAAATAGAATAAAATTAACAATACTATTCAATTGTGCAAAACATTTAGTTTAGTTAATTATGGATTCATAAAAGAGGAAATCAAAATTATAAAATATATATTCTGAAAGTTAAAGCTACATTAAAAAAATATTTAAACATATTTTTCCTTCGGCTTACAAACCAAAAACAAGCATTCAATAGTTTCGTTAACATTTTTAACAGTACATGTATTGTTGTAAATCTCATTAAAAATTGTTCATAAGTTATGATTTTAAAAGGAAAACCCCACGGTAACACTAAAGTTCGTTTACGAATTTTAACATGCACATGGATACTAGTATAATTAGCTCATGTATGCGCTACGTCACATTGTAACCATGTGGATCCAAGCAAATATGAGACATTCTTGTGCAAACAAACTTTTACCATTTTAGTTTCACGGTGCATTAGCCCTGTCGTTTACAAGAAAGTAATCATCTCATAAAAATATTGCATTTGTATGAAAACATCCGTAATATATTGTCCAACAACATTGACCTGGCACTCTTGCATTTGACCCTGTAGTCAGTATATTTCGTAAATGTTACGATCTACTTGTAAAATCGATATGTAATAGAAAGAGCATCGAAACACGAGGCTATCTGAATAGTACGGGGTGGCGCAGCCCCCGAGTTTTAATCAGATTGCCGAGTGTTTTGATGTTCTTTCTCTTTTGTATCATAATCAAACATAAAATCATGCTCCCTGTTGTCACAATATGAAACCCCAGAAAAAAGGAACCAATGAAGGGGCATCTCCGAAACTATGATACAAGAATGTTATTGTATCATATAAAATATAATTGTGTATAAAAATACCACTTAAAAAGGTATTCTAATACCAGGTGTAGTAAAACGATTTGAAATTAATTTTTGTAAGTAAATTAAAAAAAAATCATAACGTGGAATCGGTAAGGAATCGGACCAGAGACCTTTATATTGGTAGTCCGACATCTATACCAATACACCACAAATCACTGACAAGTGCAGTTAGCAAATATATCGATATATACGACAGATACTGCATGGTCAGTGTTTATTTAAATGACCTTTACGACAGTTCAGTCAGTCAGTCAGTTTGAGTTTATTTATACTCGGCGCCGGTTAAACCATCTGTCCGAGAATATAGCATCCGTGCCGGTCCACTAGGGTAGTCACATCGGGGACGTCTTTTTCATGCTGAATCTTCCTGAAGCCTATTCTTCGTTCGTTGGTGGTAGAGGAGTACGACAATACTGGCCAGGCATCATGTTCCATACTGGACGATAACAAAAACGGCTCTCGTTAGCGCCAACCCTCCAGAGTTAGTCACGACAGGTCAACCAATCACCTCTGGTACTTAAGATGACTTGACCTTGACCTGCCGTGTGCCTTCTCCGCGACGTGCACGCCTCTGGAGGGATTTGGAGAAGATTACGACAGTTAATGAAGTGTCAGGTTTATATTGTTGGACAATTCGGACTGCTACTGAAAAATGTTGATTTTCTATTGATGTACGGATAACACAAAGGCGGAGTTTCTCTTGCGAATAGAAATTGTACTTCGCCACAATGAGGTTGTTAATAAAACTCATTTTGGTTGTCTGGACACCAGACCAGTATAAGAACGGGAGTCAATATGAAACATATTTCATTAACGAAATGAAGCTATTTCTTTTTTATGAAATTTATTTAATGTAGCTTTAAAACACATTAAAAAAACGAGCGTTCTAAAACACATTAAAAAAACATGCGTACAATTGCATAGTTGAACTCGAAAATGATCATAATCTGGGCGTTTCATAAGCCACTACGCTCGTCAGGTTTATGCGTTCATACACACTTTTATTCTATATTGCAATAAAAATAAAAAAAATGTAATAATTGTATAACTTGCACAATCCATTACATCATAATGGTACGACCGGATAATGAAAACGTTATCTTGTTGACAGCAGTTTTTCATGTGGACCGAAATTTGATAATCGATACAGCTGTGCTGATTTATTGGCATTTTAGAGCTAAAATATTCTATATTTAGATATTTGAACTATTCACCAATGTTAACATTTTTGTGTCTTTCTTGCTGTTTAGAAATATGCTGTTTTCAACGCTAGAGTTAGACTGTTTATATTGTGTTAATTCGTCCTTTACACAACTATACCCAAATATGAGCTATTTAAAAAGTGTCCCTCATTTAAATAATGTTATAAGTTCGTCTGAAATATACGATATCCTGCTTGGGCAAGGTAAATGCCACCTATTGACATGCAAGATTTTTTCTGAAATTCTTTTTAAACTTTTGGCGATATTCAACATTAAATTTGTCGCGACGATTAACATTAATTCCCGCATGTTTTTTTTTCTTCAAGAACTAAATCTTTTTAGCTCACCTGAGCACAACGTGGTCATGGTGAGCTATTGTGATCTTCCACCGTCCGTCGTCGTGCGTCGTCAACAATTTGAATTTATATATATATTACCTATAGATCGTCTATCAAAGCTGTTCAAATTATAGCCCTAGGGTCAAAATTAGCCCCGCCCTGTGGGTCATAGGTTTTCCTGACATGTATTTAGTTAAAACTTAAAAAATCTTCTCCTCTGAATTGACAGGCTAGAAGTTAGATATTTGGCATGAATCATTGTGTAGTGAAAATCTACCAAGATTGTTTAAATTATAGTCATTGGGCTTAAATTGGCCCCGCCGCGGGGTCATAGGTTTTCCTTATATGTATATAGTAAAAACTTAATAATCCTCTCGTCAGAAGGTACAAGGCTTAGAGTTTACATATTTGGTATATAATATCATCTTTAGGTCATCTATGAAAGCTGTTCAATTTTTGCCCCTATTGTCAAAATAGGTCCCGCCCCTGGGTCATAGGTTTTCCCTGCATGTATATTAAGTAAAATATAAACACTCTTCTCCTCTGAATTGGTTAGATATTTGGCATTAACTTTGTGTAGTGGAACCAAGATTGTTCAAATTATACCCTGCCCCGGGGTCAAAGGTTTTCCTTATATGTATATAGTAAAAACTTCTTGTCTGAAGGAACAAGGCTTAGAGTATATAATATCATCTATAAGTCCTCTACAAAGTTGTTCAAATTTCCCCCTAGTGACAAAATAGGCCAAATCCCGGGGGTCATAGGTTTTAGGTTTTCCTTACATGTATATAAATTAAAAACTTGAAAAACTTGTCCTCTAAATTGACAAAGGCTAGAGGTTAGATATGTGGCATGGAGCATTGTGTAGTGAAACTACCAATATTGTTCAAATTATAGCCGTTGGGTTAAAGGTTTTCCTTATATGTATATAGAAAAAACTTTAATAAAATCTTCTTGTCTGAAGGTATAAGGCTTAGAGCTAAGATATTTTGGTATGTGATATCATCTGTATGTCCTCTTAAAAGTTGCTCAAATTTTGCCCCAATTGTCAAAATAGGCCCTGCCCCGGGGGTCATAGTTTTTTGTTATATGTATATATAGCAAAAACTTAAATTGGTATGTACTATCATCTTTTGGTCCTCGATGAAAGTTGTTCAAATTTTGCCCCTAGTGTCAAAAAGGCCTTGCCCCGGGGGCTATGGTTTTTCTTAGAGCTGTCATTGATTCAGTGCAAAGCATAGCAACGATATATTGATATCGGCTGACAAATACCAAAGATTCGCCGATAAATCGATAGTTACCTATAATAAGTTGTCTGACATTCAGTTTTATAACTGTTTAAATGATTTTAGTAAAATACATGTTGCGTCCAGTGTCTTGTTTATAAATGCCCATTGCATTAATCTTTTCCTCACCGTTTTTTGTCATCACTTAAATATTTCCTTTATGTTACAAAAGTGCAGTGTTAGACATGGAGACATGTTTCTGTATATGTCTTGGGCGAATTTTTTTGTAATTTCTAGACATTTAATTAATTAGTCAAAATTATCGATTTTTTAAAATGTGTTTCGATTATTGATCGACAAAAAATATCAACGATACATCGATATTGTTACTATCGATGACAGCTCTAGTTTTTCTTATACAGTATGTATAGTAAAAACTTAAAAAATCTTCTGAGAATTGACAAAGACTAGAGGATGAAACTGGGGTCAAAATTGTGGTTAAAAAATCTTGTCTGAAGGTACAATGCTTAGAGCTTAGATATTTAGTATATAATATCATATATAGGTCCTCTATTATAGTTCTTCAAAGTTTGCCCCTGTTGTTAAAATTGGCCCTTACACAAATTACAGTATATCTTCAGGTGAGCGCTTTGGGGCTAATGGTCCCTTGTTAACAGTAGCAGTGACTAAAGTAAACGTTCTTCGAGAGAGAACGTTAATCTCACTACTTATCTAATAAGAGTTGTCGAATGGCAGCGTGCTGGACTATTCTCAGTTACAAGAATATTTAACCAACGTAACCAATGACATTTTAATATTCTTGGGCCTGACTTTGCATCAAACCCTATAACAGACCTTGTTAGACTTTGACCTCCAAGTGTGACCTTAATCTTTGATATAAGTGTCCGGGTGTTGCGCTTGACATGTCGTCTTATTATTGTAAACATTTGCGACCAGTATTTTCAAAATCCCTTGATGAATTAGAAAGTCATAGACTGGACACATAATACACCATTATAATATGTCAGACCATGTTAAGATTTGACAACCAAGTGTGACTTTGGGTTCGGGTGATATTATTGTGAACAAGTTAACACTTGATTTATAAAAAGGTTGACCCTGACCTTGGAGGAAGGCGTCTTGGTGTTACGTACGACATTTTGAACATTTGTGCCAAGTATTTTCAAAATCCCTTGATGAATGAGAAAGATATGGTCCGGACACGACATATACCCTCCAACAGACATTGTGTGACGGACGGACATACGGGCGTACAGATAGGTGGACAGACGGACGGAGCCCGTTTCTATACCCCGCTCCCATTTTTTTTTTCGAAAAAAAAGGGGGGACAAGAACCTGGATAATGTAGAATTCTCTTTGCAATTGATACAGTACGAGTTTCTTACTGACGTAAGAATAGTTTCCTAGGATAAACAATGAATTGTCAGAGGCAGAAGCCATTGATAAATTGACGCTTGTCCTAATACGTCTATAGGAAGACACTTTTTGAAGAAAATACGAGTAATTGTTTCTGATTTATATAGCGATAAATCACTTAAAGGCCAGATAAATAAATAAACACATTTTATAAATAATAGATCTAATTGACAATAACTGTGTGATCTTGTTGAAAATATAAAAATAAGAAAATGAATACACGGCCTTACAAAATGTAAAATGTAGGCAAATTGTTTTCGCAAGTAATTTTCTGGCTTTTATTTCAATCGTACAGAATTCATTTTCATTCATTACAAAAGATGTTAAAATGGCTGCCTTATAGAGAGTCATATTTGCTAAAATCGATTTTGTCGGATCAAACTCGTTTCAAAATTGAAACCGGCACTGAGCATCTCATACGACCTCAATTTTGGTTAAATTTCCTTAGTCGCGTACTAAGCAGTATCCGATGTAATACATTACTACTGATAAGAAAAGTATGATTGCATGCCAGCAGTTTTGTGTAAGAGTAAACTATTACTTAGAACATGAGATTTTTGTTACATAAGAATTGATATTATGCTCATATTTTCATTGTCAAGTTGAGCTGAATTGACTTACTATTTCAAAAAATTGACTGTTTAGATGATGTTTGACCAACATATTTTATTGGAAAATGTTTAGGATCTGCCTAAAATAGAAAAAGACTGCCCCACTCTTTTTATAAATTGAACGTTACAGGTAAATTCTAAATGATATTAACTGAAATTTCGTTTGAGTCCGGTGGTTATATATTGTTTATGCCAAGTAAATTATTAAATCAAAAGGAATTATGGCAAAATGAAAATTGATTTTTACTCTCACCTTTTTACATTACATCATTTTATGTGGAGCTGTGTTACAACCTGAATTGTAATAAAACCGGAATTGTAATCCTGACCAGTTTTGTAATAATTTTATTACAATTCCGGTTTTATTACAATTAAGGTTGTAACAGAGCTGTTTGAAGTTTATTCTATTTTATAACAACATAATATTTATTATTTAATGTGGACTGAATGATAAAATACCAATTTATTTTGATTTTAGGGAGAACATTGAATGCCATGTTTATGTTGTTTTTTTTTTCGAAAAGAATGTCAGACAAAATAAGTGGTCACTATTCTAGGACCATAACTCTGATGTGTATTTTTGGCAGAACATTGACCCATTTTAAGCATATTTCGTTGTAAAAAGAACACCGTGCATATCCAGTAACGTTGGAATGCAAAAGTAACGCCGAATCTGTGCAACGCTATTGCTAAAACAAATAACACAGTAAGTAAATGATCCGAAATATTTTATTCTAAATAAATTTCAAATAAACGAATTAGCGCATACGACTGCTACGACATTATACTTAAAGCAGCATTGAATTTTTTTTTTCAGGAATATGTTTACTTCTTTAGATCATTCGTGAGAAAGACAACCTGATTACCGTTTTGAAAGTGACTTTTGTGTTATGTCAAACAAAAATGTTTATTTAACACATTTAAAACATTTTTTTATATTCTCTATACCCAAGGCATTTGTCAAACTACGAACTAAGTGTCGTATAACAATAGAAGAAGCTGGTTAAAATTAGATTAAGCTACTTTTAATGAGATAACCCCCGTTGCTTCAGTGCTTCATTCACGAATTCGGCGTAACCTCGTAAAAATGGTCTCAATTACGTTTTATCTGCTGAATTAAGTGTAATATGACACGAGTAGATTGGAAAATGTCTCAGATAAACCGAATATAAATCAAAGGGCTGCAAGCTCTGCGGTATTTTCTGATCTTTGTAATCTAAATCGTACTGTATATCTGTATGTATTTTCCTGTATAAGTTTATTTTGATATACTATAATTCATCTTGCAGGGCACCGATTGCAGCGAATGCGTTTAGATCTTTTGCTATAACAGTTTAATTTTGATACATACGGAATTTTGCATTGCCAGATTTTCTAACTTGCATTTTTGAAATCATTTATGTACATTTTTATGACAGCCACACTTGATCCTTGCATATCGTGGCTAATTCTTTAAGAAAGAATGTTAAAATCGCTAAAAAGACACTAAAATATAAAAAATAGTTGCTTTAACTGGGATTTGAACCCCAGACCTCTGACTTCCTAAACGAGTGTTTTATCCCTGGACCACAGGGAAGTTATAAAAAATCTGTAGCAAATCAAATGATTCTAAATTTAGCATTTCCATTATTAATTTCGAAATATTTTGTTCACGGTTAACCTGTTGTTTAACACTGATGTTAATAATTTAGCGAAAATCTTCTCGCCCAAAACAGTCCGACATGTATATAATATTTCACAACTCGACAGTCCGGTTTATTTGTGTAAGGTTTGCTAAAAACAGCGCTTTGTTAACGTGGATTAAATTATCGGGTTCTTAACTTATAAGACCCTAACTTTGGTAGAAATTGATTATCGATCGTCGACTGCCCTAAATTCGCTCCTGTCCTAGAGTCAACATCCTTACTTTATTTTTCAGAAAGTCTAAATAACAAATGTTCATTTAGGCGGTCACAATAATCCGAAGCTTTACGGAAATAGCCGAACAATTTTCATTGATTAAAATGATATTCATCTGCGTAATTTGTGATTGTGCGTTGATCGACAATTCAATAAGCCAAAGCTCCTTTTAAACTTTGAATGCGTTATAATTCGTTGGATACTTGTAACAAAAAAAAATATTTTTCGATAAGGTTTACAGTATAAAGTTTTAGCAACCGTATGCGTTAATTCATTTCTTCCAATTTGGTGTACAATGAAAAATATTGGTCCATTTACTTATCGCGGTGCTCGTTTTAACCACTAAATTACACAATTCCTGCGTTATTTTCACATTCCTGCGTTACTGGATATACACTGTGAATAAGCCGTTTTCACTTTTACAAGTCGATCCAATTTCGATGCAATATCCGATTTAAGGCCAAAATCCAGACAAGAGCGAGAGCTTAGAATGAATAGGACGAGTGAAGGAAACAACAAAACGACCAAGGCCATTCGTACTGATAGGCCACAGGACGACTTTGACATAATCGGAGGCGTGTCTCACAGTGACTTGGATAATACCGGAAAAAGGCACTTTCCAGTAGCAACTGCACCGCCAAATATTCGATTCCCATGTTGCCCAATGCGTACGTATAATTCTATAATTCTAGATTCATGGAGATATCTTTTTTGAAAACAAATATAACATGATGAATAGCAAAGACTGGAAAAACAAATATACATATTTGGGAACTTGTTTTTACAAAATAATCAACCTGGCATTAGGATTTCAGAGCCGGATCCAGGATTTCCGGTCGGGGGAAATTGTGGGCGGCGATGCATTCGCCCAGGCGCTTGCACGTGCAGCCAAGCTGCGAGTGTGGTTAGATACAGGAGGGATCTCCATTCACATGGTTTTAATTGCTGTGAGCAGTAAAAGTATTTTCCTAAGAAGCTCTTGCATGTAATCTCATCGATATAAAAAGTATAATTGTAATTAGTAGTCTGCATTTAAAAATATTTCCTCAGTTTATTTGTCAATGTGATTTCCATAAATTTACTGTATCTTATTATTATATATTAATTTATATTGAATATCATAATATATATTGTATATTCTTTTAGCATACAGCATGATTGAAGTAAAGCCTGTGAGTGCAGAAAACATAATGGTTGTCACAGAAGTTGAGTATTGTAAACAGGTGGTTGCCAAGCTACAGCGTGAAAAGATTATAGCCATGGCAACAGAAGGTATCAACCTAGGGAAAGAGGGACCTTTGACTTTAATACAGATTGGCACGTGCTCGGGATTAGTTTTCGTATTTGATATTTTGTTGAACAGGGATCTGGTCGAAAAGGGACGTTTACGATGTTTGTTAGAGGATGAACATGTTACGAAGGTAATTACTGAAAGTATTACTACTGATTTACATGTATCAAAATGCTGCAAAATGTATGTACAGTTTTCCAGTCAACTTATAATGCGCAAGTTTGATCGATACCTAGAACGCCCTACTACAAAATAGGGACACTCAAACGCATTACATAAATTCATGTAGTTACAGCAAGTACTTCCGTTAATTTCGACCAAATATAAACCATCTTCGAAGTTCACTATAAATGTTTTTAATGAAGAGTGCCAGAAATCCAGTGTTGGTTCATTAAATGAGTCAAAATTGAAATTAAAGGGGGTACAAGGGGGGGGGGGGGAATAACGGTTCAATTAAACCACTGACAGTTCCAAACCTTACATGATTTTAATTAGATTTCAGTATATCTGCAAAAAGTGTTCAATTGTATTAAACCTGGTGAGTAATGTACTGATGTCATATTGTTTTTGATTTCGCAGGTAATACACGACAGTTGTTACGTAAATGCAGCCCTGAACTTTCAGTTTGCAACTTCTCTCAGAAATGTTTTTGATACACAGGTAAAGGTTGAATAACTTATAAGTCTTTAGACCCAAAACACTCGATTAAGAATGTTGTATCAATGAACTTCTTCTTATAACCGGTCATGTTTTTCTTCTGATAAAAGAGTTCTGTGATATCTCTGAAGATGTCACTGAGTTTTGGTGATATCTCTGAAGATGTCACGAAGTTCTGGGGATATCTCTGAATATGTTACTGAGTTCACATGATATCTCTAAAAATGTCACTGAGTTCTGGTGACATCTCGGAAGATGTCACTGAGTTCTGGTGATATCTCGGAAGATGTCACTGAGTTTTCTTGTAACACCTCCGAAAATGTCACTGAGTTTTGGTGACATCTCTGAAGATATAACTAAGTTATCTAAGTTATATCTTTAAAGATGTCGCTGAGATCTGGAGACACCTCCGAAAATGTCACTGAGTTCTGGTGACATCTCTGAAGATGACACTGAGTTCTGGTGACTCAACTGAAGATGTCACTGAATTCTGGTCATTTCTCGGAAGATGTCACTGAGTTCCGGTGTAATCTCATAAGATGTCACTGAGTTCTGGGGATATCTCCGAAGATGTCACTGTATTCTGGTGACACATCCTAAGATGTCACTGTGTTCTGTTGATATCTTTGAAGATGTCACGGAGTTCTTGTGCGATCTTCCAAAATGTCACTGAATTCTGGTGATATCTCTGAAGAAACCACGGAGTTCTCGTGACATCTCTGAAGATGTGACTGAGTTCTAATGATATCTGTTTAGATGTCACTGAGTTCTGTTGATATCTTTGAAGATGTCACGTAGTTCTTGTGAGATCAGTTAAGATGATGCTGAGTTTTGTTGAGATCTCTGAAGACGTCACTGAGTTCTTGTGATTCATTTTAAGATGTCACGAGTTCTGTTGATATCTTTTATGATGTCACGGAGTTCTGGTGATATCTCTGAAGGTGTCACTGAGTTCTTGTGACATCTCTGAAGATGTCACTGAGTTCTGGTGATATCTTTAAAGATGTCACGGAGTTCTGGTGACATCTCAGAAGATGTCACTGAGTTCTGGTGATATCTTTAAAGATGTCACGGAGTTCTGGTGACATCTCAGAAGATGTAACTGAGTTCATGTGATAGCTCTAAGATGTCACTAGTTCTTGTGATATCTCTGAAGATGTCACTGAGTTCATGTGATATCTCTGAAGATGTCACTGAGTTCATGTGACATCTCTGAAGATGTCACTAGTTCTTGTGATATCTCTGAAGATGTCACTAGCTCTTGTGATATCTCTGAAGATGTCACTAGTTCTTGTGATATCTCTGAAGATGTCACTAGTTCATGTAGTATCTCTGAAGATGTTACTGAGTTCATGTAATATCTCTGAAGATATCACTAGTTCTTGTGATAGCTCTGAAGATGTCACTGAGTTCAGGTAATATCTCTGACGATGTCACTGAGTTCATGTAACATCTCTGAAGATGTCACTAGTTCTTGTGAAATCTCTGAAGATGTCACTGAGTTCATGTGATATCTCTGAAGATGTCACTTGTTCATGTTATATCTCTGAAGATGTTAATGAGTTCAGGTAATATCTCTGAAGATGTCACTGAGTTCATGTGATATCTCTGAAGATGCCACTAGTTCTTGTGATATCTCTGAAGATGTCACTAGTTCATGTAGTATCTCTGAAGATGTTACTGAGTTCAGGTAATATCTCTGAAGATATCACTAGTTCTTGTGATATCTCTGAAGATGTCACTTAGATACTCTGATAACCTCTGTTAAAGTTTACAATTTGCGAACTATTTAATAGAACCATAGCAAACACTGTGACGATCTGCTCTTATTTTTATATTAAACTTGCTACTGTGTAGTCAAACTTTACGCAAGTTTGTCACGATCGCATTTGACTTTATTTCAATATCATTTGTAAAAGAAATGAAGATGTTATGTTGGACGATTATTTAAATTCAGTGTTTTATAGTTATGGCTTCAAAACTGTGCATGATGTCAGCAAATAACATTGATATTTGTGCGGTTGTCAAAGTTAAACACTAAAACAAATTTAAAACTCAAAATACATTATCAATCTGTGAAAAAAAAACAAAAAACATGTTGTCTTCAAATTGTACGACTTGATAATAATAGGATCACCTAAGCGTTTGAAGACAAAAGTTCCGATTGAACAAAAACAAATCGCAAGTCAGAAACAAATCTCTAGTAAAGGAACTATATAATAAAGACAGCCGGTACACGCAACTATCTCCCTCGGCGACGCTGAGCGTATTATTATAGACAAGTTAAATATGGGTACAAGGATGAACTCTTACATATACTCTGCCATGCCTTACAAACACAATTTTGCCATCCTGTCCGATGACTATCCCTGGTCCTTTCCATCTTTAATTGTTATCTCTTATGCAATAAACTTATCAGTATGCAGATACGGATCGTCTGATCTTTCAGAGGACTAAGATGAATAAACGCACGCCTTCCTTAAGAGCATTCAAACGATGTGCAAACTTCTCATTTGTTGTTATTACTATTTAAAGCCGCTTGTTACAAACTGAAACGATACATATCACAACATATGTACATGAACTATAAACACACAATTACAGACGAAGCTCTAAAAGACTGACTGAATACCGAATTAGACAGGATGGAAAAATGGAAAATACCCTTGCTAAGGTCAATGGCACACCCACTTACTGGGTCATTCCTTAGACGTGGTCAACAAACTACACATCTTGCTATTACCTAAAACCCTAAATGACATTAAAAGACATCCACACTATATGACGCTCAATATACGACGTGACATTAACTATGGTTGACAAAACGCATGCTTACAGACAATTAAATTTGTCGAAAAAAATCATCAATATTGGCCACGACTACGATGTCAATCCATTTTTAGGGATTATTATAAGTTTAATAGTTTAGCGTTTTGTCTCAATTGCACACAAGCAATCTGGCTATCTGTAATTCGACGAGACTTTCGTATCAATATATAAAAATAGAATACCCAGAGAACACCAAAATCGGTATAATTAAAATTAAAAATTAAAGTTTGATTGCGCCTGTTCATGGACGGTATTGGAAAACGCAAGGTACCGTCAACGCCCACTAGCACTGGCTTAAACAGAATTCAACATTTAAACAATAAATTGTTGAAATTTTGAATTTAGAAACATGAGCAGATATGTTCATACTGTAGTTATGTAGTTATCATAGACCCCTAACGGCCATCCCATGAAAGTCGGCGTAACCTCCTAAAATTAAAGCAGTACTAGGGAACGTAGGTGATGTTGCATTATTCGTCTCAAGCCGAGTCCGCAGTTGTAATTTTGTTGTTTTCATTGCTGCCGACGAATCTCACCTTTCCAAATCAGTTTACATGTATATAATTTGAAAACCTCCGCTTTGAAAAACACACACTATTTCTAATATTTTATTTCGTTACTTAGTGTTAACAATGCAAAAACAGTGTTACGACAAAAATGAAAGTGATGATTTCGTTGGTGCACGATAACTGAGATTTTACGAAATAATTACAACTTACATGAAATAATGCACCATGCGAATGATACATATGTACCTAGCATAGCATTAAATTGTCCTTTCGTATTTAAAGGTTATAATGGTATGAGCATTTATCATTTTTTTATAATCTGTGGAAGAAATTTCGGAAACAATGGTGTACTATCAAGCTAGTGTGCATTTTTGTCAAGGTATAATGCGTATAAAATATATCGATTAAACCCATTCATGAATTGCTGTTTAAGCAAAAATGCCGTGTTTTATTGTCCGACATTTGTCGAACATTACAATTTACGGTACACCAAAACCTTCGAACTTTTATTTCAATATTCGATTTTTCACTTCTTTACTTTAATCTAGTTATTAGTTTTGAAGAACATTCTGATAAATAAAATACGAGATTTACACTTTGTTTTTAATATAAGCTTTATATATTGTGTGTCTTTTTCTTATATAAATTTAGGTAGCCCATCTTATTATTGAAGAAGATCGGGGAAGAAGGTTACCTGCCGGTCTTAAACTTTCAGATATTTGTCTTCAGTATACAGATAATGCTGAGAAATTGTACACCTATGACTGGAGAACCAACTCAAAGGTTTGATTAGTTGCGCTTAATGATTAATTCAATATGTCAAATAGTTTCCGAAAACATTTTCTTTTCAAATATTATCTTGTCCGTGTTTCTGAGTATCTGTATGTGTGTGTTCGAAAAAGTATATACTTTGTTTTGTCTATATAATTTATGCATGTATGATGGGATTTCAAAATGAATTGACTTATAACTTCCATTTAAGTAGACAATGTGTCCAAAGAAAAAACCCAAGTCTCCTGCTCAAATGTCAAGGTTCAGCATGGAATTGAGTTCATTTGTCATTTAATCTAAAGTGCTATTGGTCATAACTTCTGCTGGCATGATTGGATTTCAAAACGATCACCTTTAGATGTGTCGCGCGCAAGACCAGGGTCATAAGCCCATAGATCAAGGTTATAGTGAGGGAATGAACATAGCATTTTGCCATATAGGCTTAACTGCAGTTAGTTTGTGTCCGGTCCATAACTTCTATATACATAATTGGACTTCAAAAAAAAAAAAAAAAAAAAAGAGAAAGAAATCAGTACATATACTTGTCACAAGAAAACGATGTGTCGTGTGCAAGAATTATGTCCGCACCTGTCCGGATTGTAACTTTGTCATTATTTGATAAATGTTTGAAATATTTGGCATATGGCTTCCAACAGTCAGACTATTATCGCGCACAAGACCTTTATCTCAACTTGAAGGGCAATGTTGAACTTGGAGGTACAATGTTATATCGTATTTGCACATATACTTTTCTCTTTGGCTGGCCTGCAATTTTTCTTATACCAAGATGGATTGTGCGTGCGTGCGTGTGTGCATGCGTGTGTGTGTATTGTGGGTAAATCTGTAGATTATACATTTGATGAATTGCCGGAATATTTAGCATAAGGCTCCACCTAAGTTTCACGCTGTGTCACAGGCAAGACCCACGTCCGCACTCTGTGTGGTCAAAAGTCAAATCATGAGAGCACGCTTTTCTTTTTTCTTTCGTCTTATATCTTTGATGGAAATAAAGAAATTCTTATTAGATTGGTGAAGGAGTAAACAATTCTTGTGTTCGCAACTCCTCCAATATTTCCAACGGATTTTAAAAACACATTTTCAAAGAAGTATTATAAAAATATGCTTTTGTTCATATTGGTTTGTTTTTGACCACATTACCTATTTAAAATTTGAATGTATGTAATATATACTCTTCTATGTGCAACTCCTACTTTTCATTCACACTTTGTAATTAATGGATATATTGTATTCATACTTTTTTTACTTAACTATCCATAGGAAAATACCTTCAAAAGAATGTGAAAATGAATTTAACCGTCACTGTTATTTGATATTTACCTTTAATGTCAATTTATTGAAATTCGCTAAAATTACATCCAGTGTTGAATAAATCAAGCCTGACCTTGGCCTATATGCATGTGTGACCGTAAAGATCAAGTTGTTGAAATTTGCTAAAAGAAGCCATCACTTTGTCCTTAATGAATTAATTTGGTCTAAACTTAAAAAAAACGAAAAAAACAACAACAACACAACATGCCATAGTTGACATGCTGAATAATTCATGGATGACCTTGAACGTCAAGATCAAATTAGTGAACTTTCATATAACTGGTCATAACTTTGGTATTCAAGACGTTTATATTCATACTTGGACAAAACAGTTTTGATTAACTTTAACTTAACCTATGTCTTAAAAAACAGCTTACTACAATGCTGTAGCTGTAAATAAATGTTTTAATTTTGAAAAAGTTGAGCTCGGCGGTGTCTCTTGTTGCAAAAATTACGACTATTTGTTGCTGATTGTTCATATGTAAGTTATAGACATTTCAGTCACAATCGGCGGAAAACCTTGATTGCGGCAGTTCATGCTGCTTATTAGGTGTACTTTTGGTTTACAAAAGGAGACCAGTTAAACTGTGTCTTCACACTTTTTTTATTTTCTTGTATATCAATGTTTTAGAAATTGATAATAAGTTTTAACTAAAGCCATAATGCATGTTATAAACATGCTTAAATGTTCAACAGCAATTTCGTATACTTGGCTAACAAACGTTCAGAGTTAAACTGTAAATGAGATGTAAAAATGGATGCCGCCAACAATCATCCTCAACTCTGTGGATAACTCCGATCTGATGATCTCTCCAGTTATATTTACACACTGTGCAGTTAAGGAAAGGATGTACATCATTACATCACATACAATGGTAATTTGGTATAATCATAAACGCTCTCACAACTAAAATTACAAATTTAACATGATAAGAAAAATGTTCTCATTTTTTGTAGATGACTTGGATGGCAGCGATTGGTAACTTTTGGGCTAACCGACCTTTGACGTTAGACATGCTTGAATATGCTGCCGGTGATGTCATTGTACTTGTTCCTGATGTATACAGATGTCAATCAGAGTATGTAGTATATTTATAAGTTGTATCATAGTTTGGAGACCTTTCTGTTGAAAATGTGTCAGGGTTAAATCGTATACATATACATGCACAGTGCGTTAACTGGAGTGCGGGTATTAGTTACCCGCACTCCAGAGCATGCCCATTGATTGGCTCATTTTTGCTGGGGTTTACATATTGTGACGGCAGAGAAAGGGAAAGCGACAGAAATATCATATTGAGATGTTCGTTCATTGGTTCATTTTTGCCGGGGTTTCATATTGTTACAACAGGGAACGTGTTTTTATGTTTGACTATGATATAAAAGAGAAAGAACACCAAAACACTCGGTAATCCGATTAATACTCGGGGGCTACGCCCCCTCGTACAAATCAGATAACCTCGTCTCTCGGTGCTCTTTCTATAACTTATAAAAAGGGTATGTAGTATATTTATAAGTTATATAGCAGGGTATGTAGTTTATTTATAAGTTATAAAGCAAGGTATGAAGTTTATTTATAATAATATATATATAATATATATAATAACGTATGGAAGGAAAATGGCAGCCTCCATGGTGCATTTTAATTTATAGAAAGATTTTGACAATAAACAACATTTAGGCCAAAATTAGATAAGTATCTTATATAATTATAACAATTTCAAGTCATTATTGATGACAAGAAAGAATTTTTTAAAGTGAAATATTTTAGAAAAAATACTATGGGTTTTCGCGAACCACGACATATAATCATCTGATCATAATAATATATTTACAAAAATACTTTAGTCCAACAGTCCTTGTTCAGTTAGTTATATATTTTCAAAGTTCTTTGTCCATCTCTTGAAGAAATAGAAATGAATATTTTTTATTCGCCTGTTTAGACCTAGGGTTCAGGATCTAGATCTAGCTGTTTTTCTTTTTAGGTGTTTTTTCTTTTCTGTTGTTGTTTATCTCAAGAATTCGGTTCTTTGTGTCCTGTTAAAATCTTTTGAGGATAGACTTCACTTAACGGCACGAATTTTCGATTTTAATCAAGTGTTTCAGCCGGTCGTGAGGAGTAAACCTTTTTTATCACATGTCACAGAACTACTACATGATACATCATTAATATGTATTTAGAAAAGTAAGTGATCATTTTTTATATGTAATAGTGCCGGTTTATTAATAGTGGTTTAAGTTGAGTCGAGCCCAACACTCAGTTGAACTCTTGATAGACTTATATAAATGGCCAAATTATTATACGGACAACACGTGATCATATATATATATATAGATATCTTTAATACGGCACTTTACCCAGGTTCTCTGAACTCTAATTGCCAACCAGTGGCTAGGATGGTGGTATTAGGACGCTACCTTCAAGCTACTTTTAAATAAGAAAATACAACTCAAGACTTTATAAATTTAACACTATGAGATTTATTTAATGACAGTCATAGAATTTATTTATCAAATGGTTAATTGAAATTATATTTAGAATCTAAATTTACTAATAATGACTATTTATTGAAAAAGAATTTCTAAGTATTTAATATTAAATTTATCCTGAATTCATAAATCATATAGATTTAAATAAAGTCAAAACTATAAAGTTTTGAAAAAGGTGTCAAAGCTCTATGGCTTTGAAGTGAACTGACCTGTCGGCCACTTCCCCAAGACAAGTAATATAGAAATTCACCCGGTATTTATACACATTTGGTAGTCATGACAATGATAAATATAGGATTGATTGGTCAAAATAACTCAGAACAAGTTCTTAACTAATCGAATGATTTCAATCAAGTCGACCAATGAAAAATATAGAATTAAAACGAAAGCACCAATCAAATTAACTCAAACAAATAAGGTAAGGAAAATAAGCGGAAAGGATAATAAAAACTGAACAACGTTTACTAAAATGCAGCCCTTTTACATATATATAAATTTAGGCCTTTTTAAATATTATTCATTATATACTGTGCTCCTCTTGGTTCACGGTACTTAACGCTTTGAAGCAAGAAACAAAACAACAAATGAAACTTATGGTACAAATATTGTCATAAGCTGTAACATATAGGTATTTTCTGCTGAATAACACAAGGAAACAACAATATATTTAGTCAAAATCAGTTTAAATAAGTCAGATATAGCCCATATGTCGGCCATTTTGAAAACAGTATGTCATCATTTAAATCGCGGTTATGGTGTTTTATTTCAGTTTTTTCATGTTTCAGTTAAAATTTCTACATGTTATTTTGCATAATTTTAAATATTAAAAGTACTTTTACATTATACCTCAAAATTATTTTTTTCAATGAACAAGAACATTTAGAAAATGGTGATTGATTCAGACGTATGCACAAATTTAACGGACTGTTGTTGCTTTTTGCAGAAGTTTGTAAAATGTTGTTCTGTTTTACGTAAAAATCTATAGATTTAAATATTTTGCACAAAAACTTTGTTGTTTAGGTGCTTGAATAAAATATGTCAATTCTGACCAATTTTAACACTGTACCATTACCGTGAAATAAGTGATGATGCGGAATTAGTGATGTTGAGTATAATGTATTTTATTCATTTCGAATGTACTGTAGTCTGTAGCCCTATATATTTGAAACAAGTCTGTTTACCTAGCAGTGTTTATAGTAAGTCAAGAAAAAAAATATAGAAGAAAATAGGCGAAAGGTTTTTTTGCACTGATTCTTTTTCAACTAAGGACAATCACTACTAATTTGATTAAAGGATCAATCCGTAATAATATTTTAACTTAATGCCTCACAGTATTGGCTCTAATTCGGCAATAATACATATAAAAACATATGGATATTTTCTTTTATTTATCTATTTTCTTTTTTTTTAACCTATTACTCTAGCAAATTTTTGCTTTCTTCACCTTCATGAGCCAGGCTTATTCAAACTCTTTGTAATTTTCTCAAGAACATGCTGGAAATGGAAATGGGTTCTTTGGGTGGTTTGGTGGAATTTCTCTGTACAAATTTTGCATCTGATAATTATTATCTCCATTTGGTGAGAAGTTTAATCAAAGCACAGAAGGCGCTGAATTTGTTTGGGTCTCATAATGTCAGAAAGGTGAAGGTTGTGAGATTATAAACCAATTTGTTTTTGTATAGTGCCACCAATGCTTTCCAGTGTTTTAACTGTATTAAATTGGCTATAAGACTAATTGCAGCACTGATGTTCAATTCAATGTTTATTTGACTTAAACAATTTAAAAAAAAAATGAGTTGCCTTAACTGGGATTTGAACTCCAGACCTCTCGATTCCTCAGCGAGCGTGCAAACCCCTCGGCCACGGTGAAGTTATATTTTAACCGCCTGAAGAAAACCATATTATTCTAAATTAAAGTTTGTAACTCTAATTATTTCGACGCTAAACCTGTTGTTTAACATAGATGTAAATAATCATGGAGCTTACTATAAGCATGTATATCTATAAAGAATAAAACAATATTAGAAATCTTCGACCATTCGGGAACTATTTTGCTTGAAAATTAATGCGCCTGTCATTTGACAATCTTTAGGCAGTGGTCTCCCCTGAATTTTTCGGCGTTAGTGTACATATAAAGGGAAGTAACCGCTTCAAAAAAGCGGACTACTTTCGGCATTTGCAATTAACAGCATCAGGGTCTGAAATTTCGCTACCATTATTTGTTTGGTCTGACGATCCAAACAAATAAAAACTATGAACAATTTCAAGTGGTTACTGAATTGCTTTCCCATGTTTTTTTTATTAACGTAATAGTAAAACCTTTCAAGTTAAATTATGACAAATAATGTCTCCATTGCAAGCATGAATGTACATGGACTTGGTGACAGGGCAAAAAGGAGAGATGTAATTAACTTTTTGAAAAGTAAAAAATACTCCATTTGTATGTTGCAGGACACACATTTCACAAATAAAGAGCAATATATACGTTCCATTTGGGGATATGAAACATATTTTTCAAATTTTAACAGTCAGTCCTGAGGAGTTGCAACTTATATCAATAACAATTTTGAGTGTAAGATAAATGATATAGAAAAAGATAAAGACAGTAACTTACTCATTTTAAATTGCACTATATCTGGGAAAAATATTACTCATGTGAATATTTATGGTCCAAACAGGGATAGCCTAAGTTTTTTGATACAGTTTCGAATAAAATGTCCAAGTTTGATAACTTTTTTTATTTTAGCTGGAGATTTTAATTTAGTTCTTAATCAAGAATTTGATAGCTACAAGTATTTACATTTAAACAATCCAAATGCAAAGTACATACCTTAATGTCTGATTTTAATTTGATGGACTGCTGGAGAGAAAATATTGAAAAAAAAGAATATACATGTATAGGCGAAATCCCATAAAAAAGGGGCGTTTAGATTTTTTCTTAATTTCGGATTATTTATATACTGACTTAGTCAATTCAAGGATTCTACCTGGCTACCGTACTGATCATTCTTTAATATTGATATCATTACAATTTGGAAAATTTCAAAAGGGGAGATCATATTGGAAATTTAATAATTCACTCCTGAAAAATGAAGTATATATAGAACAGGTGAAAAATTGTTATTAAAGAGACAAAAATACAATACACAACAAATATTCTAGAGAATAATAAGAATATTAATGATGTCGATATTGAAGATTTAAGATTCAGCATTAATAACCAACTTTTTTGAGACTTTAATGCTTAATATTAGGGGGGATAACCATAAGATATGCATCACATAAAAAAAATGGAACTTGATAAAGAGGATGTACTTCTAAAAGAAATAGAAAATATTGAAAAGAAACAAAATATTAACTATGAAACTTTAGATGAAAAAAAAAACTTCTGTCTCTAAGATCAAAAGCAAAGTTGATCATTAAAGGTAAAAAACCTTCAAAATATTTTTATAATTTAGAAAATCGGAATTACATATCAAAATTAATGAACTCACTTCATCTAAAAATGGTCTTTTATTGCAAACACAGAAGGATATTCTAACTGAAACAAAACAACATTATGAAAACCTTTATAAAAGAAATGAAACAATTG